CGGCCCTGACCTAATTCCGGGCCAGCCGCCGCTCGGGGGGCAGGGAGAGCCCCCCTGGGGCTGCGGGGCCAAGGGACCCGGATGGGGGGGCACAGGGGATGGGCAGCCCACGGATGGGGTGCACATGGGATGGAGAGTCAAGGGATGGGGTGCACATGGGATGGAGACACCAGGGATGAGGTGCACAGGGGATGGAGAGCCCAGATATGGGGTGCACAGGGATGGAGAGCCAAGGGATGGGGTGCATGGGGATGGAGAGCCCAGGGATGGGGTACACATGGGATGGAGAGCCCAGGGATGAGGTGCATGAGGATGGAGACCCCGGGGATGGGGTTCATGGGGATGGAGAGCCCAGATATGGGGTGCAGAGGGATGGAGAGCCCAGGGATGGGGTGCCTGGGGATGGAGAGCCCAGGGATGGAGAGCCCAGGGATTGGGTGCATGAGGATGGAGACCCGAGGGATGGGGTGCATGGGGATGGAGATGTCAGACATGGGGTGCATGGGGATGGAGAGCCCAGATATGGGGTGCACAGGGGATGGAGAGCCCAGGGATTGGGTGCATGAGGATGGAGACCCCAGGGATGGGGTTCATGGGGATGGAGAGCCCAGATATGGGGTGCACATGGGATGGAGAGCCCAGGGATGGGGTGCATGGGAATGGAGAGCCCAGATATGGGGTGCCTGGGGATGGAGATCCCAGACATGGGGTGCAGATGGGATGGAGAGACCAGATATGGGGTACACAGGGGATGGAGAGCCCAGATATGGGGTTCATGGGGATAGAGAGCCCAGATATGGGGTGCACAGGGATGGAGAACCCAGGGATGGGGTGCATGAGGATGAAGAGCCCACGGGTGGGGTGCACAGGGGATGAAGAGCCTGAGGATGGGGTGCCTGGCAATGGAGAGCCCAGGGATGGGGTGCATGGGGATGGAGACCCTGGGGATGGGGTTCATGGGGCTGGAGAGCCCAGATATGGGGTGCACAGGGGATGGAGAGCCCAGGGATGGGGTGCACAGGGGATGGGCAGTGTATGGATGGGGTCCACGGGGATGAAGAGCCCATGGGTGGGGTGCATATGGGATGGAGAGCCCAGATATGGGGTGCACATGGGATGGAGAGCCCGAGGATGGGGTTCATGAGGCTGGAGAGCCCAGATATGGGGTGCATGGGGATGGAGAGCCCAGGGATGGGGTGCATGGGGATGGAGAGCCCAGGGATGGGGTGCACATGGGATGGATAGTCAAGGAATGGGGTGCACAGGGGATGGAGACCCCAGGGATGAGGTGCACAGGGGATGCAGAGACCAGATATGGGGTTCATGGGGATGGAGAGCCCAGA